GGCCAGCGTGGCTTCAGCCCAGTCTACCCAGTGTGAAGAGGAAACATGCCAGCAGTTTGTGGAGTTGCAGCAAGCTGGCCACACCCACCCAGTTGGCCATTCCTACCCAGTCAGCCACACATACCTCCAGGTCAACCACAGCCAGATGCGGCCCTCAATGAAACTGAGTTTGACACCCCTGACCTAGACCAAAGGATCTTAACACCGTAGCTCAAAGGTCATTTCTCTTTTTTTTTTCATTATGAATCGACATTTTGGTGAGAAAAAAAGATAGGACTTGCTTCAAAGACAAAAAAGGAGTTATTAACAGATGATGTTGTCAAGATCCCCTTAAATTATGGGAACAAAGCAAAATGATTGCATGATAATCTCATAAATCACACAATGGCACCTGTAAATAACAAGGTATTATGGGACCATAGAGTTGGAAAAAGCCATTGAAGGCCATTCAATCCGATCACCTGTTCACTGCAGGAATCCAAATTAAAGCATCTTATAAATGGATAGACATGGATAAATGTCTAGCTTCTACTTGAGTGTATCTAATGAAGGGAAACTCACCATATCAATGGTGATGATTCTACTGTTGAACTGAATTTATCAGCTCCAGGGTACATTATACCTTCTACATTTTTTAATGTTTAACAAAATTAAAAAGGAAGCAAGTATACTTCAAATCAAATAGCTACCCTAATCTTTATTTCCCACAATGATCCTGAACACCACATAGGTTTTTTAGACATTCTTAAAAATAAAACTAGTGATTGCCTTTGTAAATTACAATCTATTTGTAAATGTTTTTACCTGCCCAGAAATTTTTATAAGAATAATCTAAACTGGGCTTGATAAAGAATATCCTAAAGACTTGAGAAAATTGCAGGGAATAACTTTCTGAAAAGCAGTTAAAATATTTTAATATCAATTGGAACATTCTGCAAAAGGGGAACCCTAATGGCAGCCATTGGGGTTTCTTTGATTATCCATGACATGCGCTAAAATGTTAAATGTGCCACCGACCTAAAAGGTTGTGGATGATATTTCATCTTTTGAACAAGCACTAATATGGGTTTCCTAACTTAAGAAATGTTATTTAAAATATTCAAACATTTCTGTCTCTAAATATGCTTGTGTACATATATGTGTTACCAGTAATAAATTTTCAATGGACAAATTTGGATATTCAATCCTGACACATTAATATTTTAAAGTGTAAAGCAGTGAAAGGTAAAATCTAAGGGTACGTGAGAATAACATTATCGCTTTATATTTGTATTTGTATTGTAATAGATTGCTTTTCTTTCTTAGATCACATTCCACTGTTGGTTTCATGACCTAAAAAAGAAGGGAATTTCAAATATTATTGGCTATTCTGGATTTCAAAATCAGAATTAAAGTAAGGGATGCTGTCATAATTTTGAAAAACAAATTGTGCAGCTTGACAGTGATTCATGACTATTTGTACTATCATATCTCTGAAATCTGGAAAGGGAGTTAGTTGTATGCACATCCAATGTAAATGTATTTTTGGAACTCTGCCAAACATCAAGATTATTTATATTATTTTATTATATTATCTTATATTATTTATCTGCCATATCAGTAATACCATCTTTACTTACCTGGGTTGGAGTTATATGGGTGATATCTTCAGATGCCAGTTGTTTCAAAAGTGTGGTTTTGCCTGCATTATCCAATCCCAGGAGCAGGATCCTAACCTCCTGGTCTGGTGCACTCTTCAATTTACGCAGAATTGATAGTAAGCCCTGTCAGGCAAATAGAGAAGAAACTTGCTATTTCAATCATCATCACCAAGACCTATTTTTGGAAAGTACATATGCTATTCCCAATATATACTAAGCACTGCACATTAATAAATTATACAGTTCCCTAGCTACAGGTTCATAATATACGATTCAAAAATCAGGGAGGAATAACAAAGTAAAGGAATGAAATATATTCATCAATACCCTATTATATTATTTTAAAATAAAACAGTATTAAGAAGGAACACCAGAAACAAATTTAATATTTAATCATTTCTTAAATAAAGGAGGACAAAAAGGATATTGTTGTATATAGAAAAACCATATAAATTTTCTTAATAAATACAATGTCACATAACAATCAGCACAAGAAGGTAGAGATTTTGTAAGAACATTAATATTTGACAAAGAAAGGGACGCAGGAAGTGAACAAAGAGAAAACAATTAATATTCTGAAAAGGGTAAAGGTATGAAGAGGATAACAGGCTATTTATATACAGAACCACAAAACCCGTGATTTGTTAAATCAACCTTTCAGACATATTTCCTTATCAGATGCCTCAATGCCTTCAACAACAGAACTTCTAATATACTGCCTTCACTGGAAAAGTTAGGATGCATTCAGAGATGTATTTGCCTTGCAAACAGTTTCTGTTGAACTATATAGCACAAACATCAGCACCGGAAAAGGCTCATGATATTTTGTATCATGGCATAAACTATTTTATGAACATTTTTATATTATAAATATTTTATAACATTTGACAAATTTCAATTCCACAAGAGTCATGGGTCCTGGATTTTAGACACATTCTGTAAGTTAGTCCTTCTGAGGTACCTTGGTTCTAAAATTCAAACATTGTTGCCTTAAGATGCACTGTTTCTCCCAGTTAAAGGCTAGGGAAATGAGAATTTTAATAGTGTGTAGGGTGTGTGTGTGTGTACATATACAGACAATAGAGGAAAATAATGAAGAGAAATGCATCATCAGTATGCATCATTTATAAATCATGTGACATTGCTAGAAGTTATACTTTTAAGTAGATTAAATCTTTTGTTTTGGCTTGAAATTTGATCCTTTAAAATCAATTGATACCAACTGAACAGCTGATGTTAGAAAAGAGCTCACATTTTAAACTGTATAGGACAACCTTAGTCAATAAAAATGAAAATACAAAGAATTGTAAGGTTTTTTTTAAATGCCCATTTTTTAAATTTGTGTTTTTGATGTATGACTCTAACCTTTCGTTTGAAGCCTACATACGTTGTAATAGAATGTCAGGCAGTAGCAGACCATATCACTTTTGTTTTATTTCCTTCCAATCTGAAAATTACTTCTGTGAGTTTGAGAAAGAAGCTTTGTTGTACATGTGTAGGTGGGCTAGTAAACATCTCCTTCAAAAAATGCTGAATAAAGTATCTGCAAAACCAGGATTCTAGTCTCCGTTGCAATCAGAGTACTAGCAAGCGTAGAGAAAAATCCTTCTGCATCCCATGCTCTCAATGAGTAGGAAAACATTTCTAAAATATCAGCTCCGAAGTGTGGCATTAATAGAACTGATGTCAAGTACAATAATGGTTTGGGTTGCCTGCACTCTTAATCAGGGCAGCAATCAATTGGTTTACCTACCCATAAGAAAAAAAAACCCAGAGAAGTAGTGGTTCCAGTCTTCCTGACAGCCAACACAACATGGAACAATATTAACAGGTACTAAACCTGGTGACCAGATAGATGAGTGCAGGCCCACAGCAGACCTGTCTGATTAATCAAAGCTGAACACAGCATTGATCCTGTCAAACAACCTCTTCTGTGCATTTTATATTGTCTGCATAAAAGCCTAGATTCAGCCTAACACGGGAAAACCACTTTTACATAAATTTGAAAGCCACCTTCCAACTGCTGGAGCACTGTTCCCAGTGACATAGACATGTTAGCAACAAATGGCAAGTAAAGTATCTTTGTTCTGGGGCACGGAAGCAGTGTGGATGGTTTTATGTCACTCCCAACTACTGTCTAACAGTCATTACCTCTCGGAAATTTCACTATCTTTCTCACCTCCTCTTTTACAATTTCTCACCTTCCTTCCCTTCTAAGAACTGTGTCTACATATTCTGTACCTTTTAAGGGCTCTATTCCAAGCATTTGATGAAGTGAACAATGAAAACATTTAAAAAAAACATGTGCTAAGGTGGCGAGAATTGCTTTTGCTGCATTCTAGCAAGTTCTCTAAAAATACTGTGAAATAGTTATATTAATAGATCCAGATTAAAGGAGTAATATCATTGAAAACAATCTAATAGCTTTACTAATAGTTGCTCTATTTAGAAATAAGTATTTTTAAATCTTTACATAGCTGTATCCAAAATAATAAAAATATATTTTCCTAAATACTAACATAATACATAACAGCACTTTCCATCTCTTTTCAGGACTGTCGGGCTTTTCATTCTTATCCTTGATCTGTTGATTAGTTTCCTAGCTAGCATCAGAGCCAGAATATTAACTGATCCTGCTATTCTTATCCTAAGACTGTGACATCATAATGGAAGGAACTACTAACTACTTTTCTGAGTGCTAAAACTTGTCACTACAATTTTTTAGTGAAACATCTTTACAAGACTTTACAAAAGCTGTATCTTCTGTGTAGAATTGTGTAGAAAAGGGTTAGCAACAGGATCTAGCTGAGCTGAAGTGTGTCTCTGATTCTGGATTGATTTTTTATTTCATTCCCTTCTACCATTTTAATTCTGCCACTTGATTTTATCCCGATTTCTTCAATATGGACCCTAGTTCACTTTGGACTATTACTAACACTTCAGCCTTTTTGCTTAGCTAAGGCACTATTTAGATTTTAGGACCTTTAAATGTATAATAAGTTCCATTTTCTAACATTTCAAAATCTATTTCAGTCTTTTTAACAGCAGGAATGCAGACGCAGACAAGAAGGAACAAGAAACTTGAAAACATAGAAGTATATGACTCAGAAAGGCTTGAATTGTTAGAAATCAATATTCTCAGAGATGTAAGGAAATAGTTCAGTTCCAACTATCCATTGCAGACAGCCCTTTTCCATATTAAAGTATATGATTTATTAAAAGTATGTTCCCTATACGTGCAATGATTAATCTGCCTAATCAAGAGGGCAATTTTGCAGAGTTATGAATGTAAGTTAATAATTGAAGTTTGTATAGATTCAGCTTGGGAAATGCACTAATAAGGGGGAAATCAAACTGAAAGCATATACTGTATATGTCTTTCCCAATAATCATCACGGCTCAAAAATTAATTTGTTTAGCTTTTAATTATGATACCCTATTTCACTTATGGCAATTGTGTGTATTTATTTGATCCCATCAGCATCTCAAAATGATACACAAGGGAAACTTTTTATTTTATTTTCATGAAACAATTCTGTAATGTAGATTGTACCGTCAAAGAATGACTACTCAAAGCGACTTAGTAAATTTCCACAGTAAGGTTGGATCTGGATTGTAATCTCTAACCCATTGGTGTCAAACTCCCATTGTTATATCATTGTCATGTGACATATCATGACTCCCACTCCCCTTTGCTAAACCAGAGGTAGACTTGTCCAGCAAGTGATGCTTCCGGCCTCTGGGCCGCGAGTTTGACAACCCTGCTCTAACCTAACTCCCAAACCTTAGTGAATATACCTCACTGGCTATTAGAGACACAGAAAAAAACCTATATAAATATTAATTTTGGTCACAATTTTAACACAAATAAAACATTAATATAATTTGGTCCCATTTAAATAAATATTAAGTGAAAGTGCTAAAAACATATAATTTGCAAGATCTACAGAAAAAAAAAAGTTACAGTGACCTCTATTTAAGTCATTTTCAACGCCTATTTGAACTAGATTTTGCAGTTCTAAAGAGGAATCTAATTTTTCTATGATATATTTATTTTATTGAAATAGAGCTCATTTTCTATATTTATATAGCACTTCACTGCACACAATTTTGATTTTGCAAGAACTGATGTGGTGTACTTGTTGCAAATGCTGAGTTAAGAGTGAAAAAACACAGATTCTAGATAACCCTTAAGTGTAGAAACCAGCTGTATGATCATGGGCTTCACCTGTTCTCTCAGACCAAATTAGCATCAGACTCTGTTTGATAAACCTCATGCATTGATAGCTCTATTGTTGAACTAGGCAAACAAATGGTACTTTTTAAAAAAACTGATTCACTTTCAGAAAAGAAACATACAAATTAATTTTGTACCTAATTTTGCATACATTCAATTGTCTTATATTACCCACAATATAAAAGCCACCAGCCACTTTTTCTCTGGGACCATTATACATTTTAAATTAATTTAGCAACAGAACAGTGTTCAATGTAAATAAATATTTGCTGCTTTTCTTTTCCATGTATGTAAACATTCTCAATTGCATATAATTATACAGTATAAAGCTTCTAGTGAATGGGGGTATCAACTATGAAATTCCAGAAAAACTTAGGAAGATAAATTATTTATACAGATATGTATCACAGGGATATTTTGGGTAAGTGAAAGATATTTTCTTGGAGGGCATTACTAACACCGTTTTCTTAATTTTGAAGATAGTATAAACAAAAACTACCTGATGGGAAAAATCAGTGGGATTTATCCCATTTCATAGCATACTTATGTTTCGGGAATACTTTATAAGAAACATTTGTTTTCAAATCATAATCCATGTCAGCTAATAGAGAAACAGAATCTGAGAAGGGTGCAAGAGAAAAAAGTAAAAAATATAGCATGAATTCTTCTAGGTCATATATAACCTTTCTAGCACAATGATTTGTTTCCTTTATGGCTGGCCTACTGGAATGGCCTATTTGATAGCCCAAAGCAGGAAATGTCCTGTCTAGCAGCTTTCCAGTAATTAATATTCAGGGGGACCCATATCAGATCGTGGAAATAGGATATAACTCGTATTATTTAGAGCCGTTAGAAGATTTAACAACCATTAATATGACTAATCTCCTTTTATAGTTGACAAGCACCTCATCCTGTGATAACTGCATAGCTTAAAATTATGTTATGTGAAGAATTGCTTTCTTTTCTCTCACCTGCTTCAATTATCACTGAAGTTATCTTTCCTGCACTTATTCCAGCTGTACAACATCATCTTTTTAAATAATTAGAACTAGAATTGTACAGAACTCTAAATGTGGTCACATCATAGATTTGTCCAAAGAATATTATTGGCAGTTTAATTTTCAGTAATCTCTTGCACTGAATTCAATTTTTGTTATTTGACATACATTTAATGGGTCCTCTAATTTGGCAGATAATTTGGTGAAACCATTTAAAATATTTTTGAGCCATTTTTTCAAAAAATATCACTATTTTTTAAATTTAATTTGAATATTATCATTATTTGCCTTAGATTTTCAGAGTCCTTTTCTGAAAACGGACTTTCTGAAAAGGAACAAATGATAACTATTCAAGAAGATATAAAGATACAAACAAGCATATTTTAAGTGCCTTATTCCTATCCATTTTCCATAAAATAGATTTAGTCTAAGATTCTTTTTCAGTTTTACTTAAAGGTTTCTTTGCTACATAACTGAATTTCTACAAAAAATCTTTCTTAGGATTTAGGCCGCAAGTTTAAGCTTATAAAGCAGGCTTCTTCAGTCTGGTGTCCTCTTAATTTTCTCTCCCAAATGCCTCTTCTTTATTTCAGCAGCATAATCAGAAATTGTCGCCAAACTATTACAGTTCACCAAAGACATATTATTAAATACCACCCAGAGTCACTGAAAGTCAGGCAGCATATACATTTAATAAATTGCTATTATTAAATATTATTCTAGCTCTTGTCCATCCACTAGCAAAAAAACAGCAGTTACCCTATAAGTATCAGAAATCCCACCTTCACATTTGCTCCCTGGCTTTCTCCAATTCCTGCCCGTCAAATCAGTTCAGAATGTGACAGCAGGATTATATAAAGTGTACAATCCCCCTGCCTATCACTGATTTAGCATGATAAAAGGAAACCTCTTCAATCAATACCCGATGGGCTCTTAAATACTTATCATATTCTGGGTGCAGTCTAGCTGGACAATTTCAAAATTGGCCACCTATGGCATATAATAAAAAAACAAAACCCTCTAGTATTAGAATTAAAAAAATATTCCTTTTCTAACATTTTTAAAAAATCTCTAGAAAGATGCATTTGAACACTATTTTTCAGGCACTTTTGCACCTTAAGGGAAAAAATCGACAGGACTCCCCCTGAGCTATTTCCACTTCTAAAATGGGTCAGTTCGTCCCCGGGAGACTCCAGGTTACAAAGGCTAAGCTCCTCAGCAGTCACATGTCTCTACAAGATTAAGAAACTGTCTTTTGAATGGCACCAGTTCAATGCCACAGATAGAAACGATCGCCATAAGACTCGGGGCTAACTTACATAAATGAATAGTGTATCCTGATTTCAGGCTCTTTTAACAGTTCCAAAGAGCACGCACGGTACAATAGATAAGCACATGGGATGTACAAATGCTAAAAGGAGCGAAAAGCCCTATTCCCGGAACACTTTTATCGTTCAATCTCAACCTCCTTTTCCTGGTAGTCATTTTGAACAGTTTTTCCAAGCAGAAATCATTCACGCTCCTCCCCCCCCGCCCCCCTTTTATTTTATTCAGGCCCATTCGACCACTTCCATCGCTTTCGACCGGCCTCCCCTCCGTATCAAGCACTCCGTTCCCGAGGAACGGCTCTCTTCCACAATCGTCGGCGCCAGGAATTGGAGTGGGGGGTAACCATAATTCGCCCTCCCCAGCCTCCTCCGTCCCCGACTCTCTCCCACTTCCAATCTCACACTCACCATCCTCTACGCGGCTCCAGGTTACCATGGGCAACTGCGGCAGGCGCGTGCGCACTGCATCTCTCTTACGTAGAACGTCAGTCCTGGGTGCTCTCTGGGCGGTCCAAAGCGAAGGAGGGACTTGACTTCAGAGACACCGCCCACTGGCTTCTTTAATTTTTTTTTTTAAAAAAAGCACGTTCAGTTCAGCGCATGCGGCTTAAACGAGGGAGCAGCTCATTCTTTCTTGGGTGAAGAGTCTTTGGATTGGTTGCGAAGGGCCACGCGTCCCAACTATTAGGGGGCGGAGAGATGGGGGGGGGGATTAGTTATTATCCATGTGCTTTCAAGGGAAAGGCGTGTGTGTCTTGCCGAGTGGTGTTTGGCGAGTTAAAGGTAGGAGTTTGAACTAGAAAGACTGCGGAATAAGTGCTTGTCTTTCAATCTGGCAAGGGAGGAGGGGATCAGAAGGGACACAAAAGGCTCGCTTCTGGCATTAGTGGAAAAGTGGCTTCAGGGTTTTCTGATAGCTAGGAGTAAAAGAGTGGCATGGGATGGTGGCAATGTCAGGAGGGAATTCAGAGTCCTACTCAGCAGAGAAATATGATGGCCACCCAAACTCCAGGTTGACTTTCACAAACTTTCTGCTTTAAGTAAATGCATTGGTTGCCAGAACGATTAACGCTCATCTTCTGGAACTCGGTGTTGTGTTGGACTGCAGCAACCCATAACTTGAGGACATAAATTTAGGAAATTACTGTCAGTCACTTAGGTTCATCGAATATAAGAACTGGAGGGGGAATAAATGACTTAAGGGCTTTTAAGGTAGATTGTTGTAGAAGGAACCATTTCGAATGGGAAAGATGTAAAATCAAGCCAGGTCTTGAGTGGTAAATGATTCATGCCGGTATTGCTTTGAAGATAAATCTCAAAGTAATGTGAAGGTTTTGAGCACACAAGCAATGGCCTGCCTGCCGTATATATTCAGCAGATCAACTGAGCTGTCCTGTTTTTTTGCCTTCTCCATAATTACGTACATTCTCTGAATACAGCAGGTTTATACAGCTGTGATAGCTAATGAATGTGTAGTAGTATACAGCAGTACATATTAATGTTAAAATAAACAGAGCTTTACTTATAGCCTGCATTTGTTCCCCCAAAATAGCATACGTCAGGTCCCCCAATCCTAAAGGAAAATATTTGTAACTCAGGGTTGAAATGATGGGTTGGTCCTTGGTGCTCTCTAAACTTGGTTGTTTTCTTGCAGAGGTTTCTGCTAGCACTGATGATGTTACCTAGTTTGGGTAATGAAACTTCTGCAAACAAAACAACCAAGCTCAGAAAGCACCAAGGACCTCTTTTTCATCTGGATATTTACCAGACTTCTTTAAACGTCAGCACATTTCTATGTTACATGTTTTCAGATTGTGCCCTGAATTATGAATGTTAACTTGTGTAGAACAAAGTAGTAAATGACTTCTTGTTTCTTATCTACTAAAATTTAGTTTCAATGAACTATCCCTCTCCGATGCTTTGCCTAATGGAGGCTGATCAAACTGATATGCTGGCACAGAATGTCTGATCTTTCAAGAAATTAAATATTTTGTAGCCGAGCAACAATGAAAATAAGGAAAGATGTCTAATTGGCTAAGGATGTATAACTTTGCCAGTAGAAATATTAGAACATTGAAAACAAGAAACCTGAAAAAGAAAAGAATGAGGCAACATATATATATATTTTTAAATGGGTTCATAAAAAAAAAGAGAAATTGGGGCAATGGGCAAAGAAGTATAGAATCAAGAGGATCTAATCAGGTTGCTTGTTCTTTGGAGTGAAATATATAGTAGGAAGGAAAGACAAAAGATTCAGGCTGAGTGTGATAAAGAACTAAACTTTACTGCAAAAGATTTTTTTTTTACTTGATGAGCTCAAAGATTAATGCAATGATTCCTAGGGGTAATTAGTATAAGTTTGTTTCTAGTATTGAAATAGTGACAGTGGAAAGCCTTTCTTCATCTTGGTGGCCAGAGAGGTTCAAGAAGCTAAGGATGACCACTCTCCTTAGATTACTCTCCAGTATGTGTGACTGGTGACATTTCCATTAAATTTTCCACCACTACATGAAAATACTTTTGCCTAAGAATTCATGGCCAGCTATGAACTTTATGTGCACATTTAAATTGCTCCTGTGGTTGCATATCACTCTCTATTTTTCATTCTGTCACATTGTTGGAAGGTGCTGTAGGAACACCTCCCAATCATTTGGATTTTATTATTCTAAGTAATGTAACATCACTCATTCTATATTATTTATCAATTTAAAGTTTCAATCATCTTTCATGTATATGCATTTTTTAAAAAATACTCAAAATCATGAATGAGTGTATGAAATACCACTAGTCCAATGCTTATTGTTCCAAGACCTCAAGTTTATTTCTTCTACTGGAAAAATGGATTACAGGTAGTCCGTGACTTACAACAGTTTATTTAGTGACTGTTCAAAGTTACAACAGCACTGAAAAAAGTGACTTATGACTATTTTTCACAGTTATGACTAATGCAGCGTCGTGGGATCATATCATCACCTTCTGCAACCTTCTGACAAGCAAAGTCAATGTGGAAATCAGATTCACTTAACAACTGTGTTACTAATTTAACAACTGCCATGATTCAGTTAATAAACGCGAAAAGAAAAGTCGTAAAATGGGGCTAAACTTACTTAACAAATTTCTCAGTAACATACATTTTGGGCTCAATTGTGGTCATAAGTCAAGGACTGCCTGCATTTTGTGTGGGCTTTTTTAAAAAAATCCACTTACCAATCTATAGACAAATGTCTCATTCTGTGGTTACTGAGTTTATCATTAAGTCTCAGTACATCAAGTTTTTCAGATCAGCTTTGCTCTTTATCTTTATTAACTTTCTCAGTGTTGGTTTAAGGGTGATTACACAAAATATTCTTTTGCAAGGATGAAGCTGATTGGTTTTTGCAATATACACGGCTAGCTATTTTGCAGTTTCTAAGGCAACCCTAACTTAAAACGTGGCAGGGGAGGGGAATGCAAGAGAATCTGTTACTTGACCAAATCCTGGTCTTTGCTTTGGACAAGATGGTAGGGTTGTTTCTCCGTCTCCCCCCCCCCCCACTTTTATTCCCATCTTATTAGAAATAATGAGATTATGAGAGAAAATTGCTGCAGGTATTAGTTGGGGGCATGTTTTGCTGGCCTTTTGAATAGTCAGGGAATTTTGGCTCAACTTAAGACCACCCTGAACATTGAGAAAAGAAAAGATTTCTCAGTAGCATTAGAATATTTCCCCAGAGAACATTCTAAAGTGAACATTAGAATTAGAATTCTTTTTATTGGCCAAGTGTGATTGGACACACAAGGAATTTGTCTTGGTGCAAATGCCCTCAGTAAACATAAAAAAGATACATTAGTCAAGAATCAAGAATCATAAGGTACAACACTTAATAATAGTCATATTATTATATTATAATATGTCAGTTATACCAGGAAGAATCACATCAATGATCCTTTCAGTATGGTTAATCTCATTCGATTTTAACATCACTATGAAAAATGCTATAGAAGTTATAGAATAGTTACGCTTTCAGGGAAAGAAACCAGAATATGAATAACTCCATATGTGACCAGATACAAACTGAGTTCACATTTTCAGCTATGGTTTGAATCATTACAGTTTGTTAGTTGAATACATAACTATTTAAAGCAATATATAATGGTTTCTAAACCAGAGTTGTCGAGCTTTCATAAAATAGTAAGCCAAAAGTATACCAACTTCATAATGGCTTGGAGGAATGTGTGAATTCCAACAAAGAAAATTAAATAGAAAAGATTTCAGACAGTTTTTAGAATGTATATATTCAAATATCCTAAATGTAATGAGTCATTCTTTATCCATCTTCATTTTGCTAGCCTGTTTAGGAACAATTGGAAGGGATCACAAGTGTTAGAAGCCAATTTTTTTTAAAAAAATGACCAAACAAGAGTAGGATGATACATGGAGTTAACTCAGTGCTCCAGATTTGATTCACAAGAAATCCTCAAGAATGCATGAGAGATCCTGTTTGTGACTCATTAAAGCAGATGGATCTGTTTCTATGATTGTCCAATTGCAGACGAGTTGCCAAAGGTTTACATTTATGTTTCCTTCCATCTGAAATACCTCTTCCTAATCAGATCCAAAATATCATACTTCTAATGCATAATATTTAAATGGGACTGAAGTATATGGTGTGTTACTCTGGAGTGTAAATATATTCCCACTCAGTTGTAATGGCGATTGTGGTTTTTCTGTTGCAGAATGAAACCTGTTTCCTTTAATTTTTGCTTGTAATGACGTACATATGTCATTGAATCCATTGCTACTCCAGGAAAATTGCCTATAATTTTTATGCTACTCAATGTGTGTTTTATTTCTTAAATAAAAATAAATATGAGAACAATTTCTTTCTAACATATTGTTCCTGGCATAAGAAAGGAATACTTTAAGATTGTCAGAAACTCTTCGTATTTTACATACATGCAACTACAACTAGAAGTACTTGGTTGTTCTTGAGTTCAAACCTGTGTGAAAAGTTATTTCTATAGCCAAAGGGGGTGAAGTTGTACATTTTGTATGGACAGATTCATTGACCAAATTCCAAGAAGGAATTGGGGTGTTTAAGTAGATTTTGTGTGTATTTTCAGATCCCTCAAAACATCTTGATCCTGGTTATAGATTAACCACCATTGCTGACAATCTACCTTTGACTGAGTAGAATTCCTCTTTGGCACTTAACCAGGTACTGTACATATTCTCAAGCACCATCTTCCAATTTGCCAGCTGGATTCAAAATAATATACTGGACATAAAAATGTAGTTGTTGTGTTCTTATAAAATACTGTCCCTAAATCAAATTATGGTTTAAAATGTCAGGTTCCATGCAACACTGTGCCATAAATTACCTTAGGTATTACCTTAGGTAAATTACCTTAGGTAATGTATTGAGCAAACCTAGTCAATGTATGGTAAGCTCCCATTTGTGGGAATTATTGAATCTGGAGAAGGATTTGCTCAGCCCCATAAATAGAAGATCCACAGTTGGTGATGCAAACCATATAGCTTTTAGTATTTTAGTTCTCAGTCCCATGTACAAATTGGATATCAATCTATGTATAGTATCCAAATATGGGTTTTCAGTAAGGAGATCCTTTCTGTTTTGTGATATTCCAATTTATTTTACAGATGTAAATGTGATATAATTAAATAATTATGTGTCTGTCAATGTTTTAATTTCTCGTCTCTAAAAAATAATAAGTGCTTCCTTTCTGCTCTCAGTGCACTCCCCTCTTTCCATCAGTTTTCAGTCCTGTGGCCAAAGTCCTCTATGTTGATTTCTGGAGCTCTGTACCGATAGTTTTAAGAGAGTGTGCTGTCCATTAACAAAAGAAGTTGAATATTTACTTAGCAGTCAAGGGCATTTAGTTCTGTTTTGCCCTAGTCTTTTGAGAACTAATTATTTTGTAACAAAAAGTTAGCCTGTACACTTGCTGAGTAAAGTAACTCAATTTAAACTGCCTGTAAACAGTTTTGCACATTTTTACTATGATTATTTAAAAATCTTACATATATTCTTGTTGAAGAGGGTATTTTTGTTTTCCATTGTCCTGATTCTAAACACAATGACACACTAAAGAACTCAGAACTTTCACACAAATGTAGTATAGTTTATTGCGAGTATTAGGAAAAATTCAGAATATTTTTTAAAAAGGCTACACTTTATTTTAAGTGAAATTTTTGCTTTTTCACCACAGTAAAATTACAAATCTTTCCCACATTCTTGATATTGTAGCTGCTCTTGGTATTACTCTTCCAACCGTGTCAAAAACAAAACCAGCATGTTCTTCCCTATCATCTTTTTTTTGTTTTCTTGATTATATGGAGTAACTTGTGATTAAGATGTTGAATTGGAGTAAAATATGACCTTATTTTTCATCCGAGCATAGCACTCTAAATCCTTTTATTACCTGTTATCATAACTGCTTTGTATGGGAAATCTGTTATGCCCATATATTAGCTTGTTCCAACTTGGATTTTGCAGCCAAAGTGGTATTGATACAATATAGCAGGAGGGACACCAGACAGAGTAAAGTGTTATACACAACAAAATAAAACTAAGTTTTGTCAAAGTTCATTCAAGTGTTCATTAAAAAATAAGAGCAGAACAAAAGTTGTTCATTTTATCTGTTTATTCATCTGTGCTACAAAGACTATTCGGCTGGTAATAAACAATATAAAGAATATTGTCTCAAATTGCTTTGTGAATTTAATAGAAAAATGTCTAATAAAGCTTTCAGTGGTGACTTTTCGCATATCATGGTTTAGAATGTGTGACTATTAAATAGTATCCCATGTTAGCAAGTATTTTAACTAAAATTACAGGTTTATATCAAATGTGCCAGTAAATCAATGAAATGTGCTTATGCAATTCTAAACAGAATAATCTTATTTATTTATATACTACATTGTGTTGAACAGCCAGAAATTCTCCAATGTATGTAAGGAGTATAGGCAGTGGTGGGATTCAGCCAGTTTCCACTAGTTCAGCCAAACTGGTTGTTAATTTTTTGTGTAGTTCGGGAAACCAGTTGATCCCACCACTGGCTGGCCCGGCCCCGCCCACAAGGGTTACCATTTAGGGTGGGGAGGCTGAAGGGGCATGCCTGATCAGCTGGGAGTCGGAGAATGAACCAGCCATGCTGATCAGCTGGGAGGCTGCCCTTCCCCTGCAGCCCGTTTTTGGCCTGGACAGCCTCCTGCAAAATCCTGCAGCAACCACCATTCCCTCACTAACCTGCTTTCCAGCTCCGTTCTCTGGCATGCTGGG